TAATTAGTCACCTGTGTATGGAGGTCAAGGATCACTGAACTTACCAAACCTAATTTAAGTTCCAATAATTAGTTTTAAAGGTTTTGAAATTCATAAAATGACAACAGTGCCCAAATTTATGCACCTGTCTAATTTGAACCAGTTATTGCACACTTTCTGTAAATCATATAAATTTCATTTCACTTCTCAAATATCACTGTGTTTGTCCCCTATATCAGTGGTTCCCAAACTTTTCAGCTTTTGACCCACAAAATACCAGCAGCAGAGACCTGCGACCCCAGCTGTTGTTGGTTATAAACACTGTTTTCATGTCAGATAAACAAGGACATCGTAACAATATTCACTAAGCTATTTTTGTCCAATGTAAATACACTAACCTTACTTTTTTGTAAGAAAAAAGGCATAAAAAGTTTGTTAGTTCTCATTTTTTAGTGTAATTAATTCAGAAAATCGTTTCAGGATCCCACCTTTATGTTTCAGGACCCCACTTTAGGTGACCCCAACTTTGGGAACCACTGCCCTGTATGATATATTTAACTGATATTTTTAATCCAAACAATCAATGATTTATAAAGGTAAATCAGGAAAATTAACAAGGCTGCCCAAACTTTCGCACCCCACTGTGTTCTTTGTTTAAAATGTTATAAATTATTTAGTCAACTCTTTCACTGGAGAGTTAATATTTGGAATTGATTTAATTAAAGATGGCTGCCRCAGCTAATCGCCCTTAACCAACACAAAAAAACAGTAATAGCTCGAGTAATTATACAGCTAAAATTTGATGTAGCAGATGAGACTCTTTTATGCTACTTTCCACTTTTAATGCTCTTTCTAAAAGAAGCTCATATTTGTGGTTTTGAGATGACCCCATATTTCCCTCGCAGACTGTGCTGATGGACCAGGCCCGCCTGGACCATCTGAGTCAGCGGCTCCAGCTGCTGATCCTGGAAGCGTCTGCTTTGCTCCTGACCAGCGCTCATTTTGGGGGTGTCGTTTTCTCCCTCCACGGCTTTGTAGGTAAACTCAGGCGGTCCGCCGCTGCCCTGCTGGAGGGCAGTCACACCAGGTAAGAGGAGGCCGGGGTGACGCATGTACTRGCTTGTCAGGGGGGAACAGGTATCGTATGAGAGGGGGACGCCATCGGAGGCGACAGGAGGCAGCCGGCTTGTCGGAACAGATCCAGCTAACCTCATTCTTTCTGTTTAAGAGACGCCTCGTCGTGATTATTGGATGACTGCAGAGCAGCAGCCTGCGATCATCAGGGTCTCAGTTTAAATCTCTGATCCTTCCATCCCCCGTCTTTAATTAAACACACTTCAGTTGTCATACTTTAAAGTTTCAAATCCTCAAACAAATGATATCATACAAAGAGTAAATACAAAATGCACTTTTTAAATGAAGGTTTTATTTATTAAGGGAAAAACACAATCTAAACTGATCTGGCTGTGTGGTAAAGTATTTATACAGACATTGAGCTAAAACTGGTTGATCCAGTTATTAGTTATTATCAAACAATCTCTTGGATTTGTGCATAATGGAAATATTTAAGTTAATCGTTAAATTAATTTCTTGATTCTACAGATTAGTAATCAGGGCTGCATGTATCAAGTGAAACTGATATTAAAGCTTCCAGAACAACTTCAAAGATGATAAAAGATAGTTTATTGAAAAAAAACATGATACTAAGTACCAGTATGTACTAGTATGCGTCAACAAATTGTTCAAACGATGCACCTGATGCTGTTTTTGTTTCAAAGTTTGAGTCTGTAAAATACAGAAGAGGATTAGCACCACTGAAAAAATAACAAAAGGAATTCTGACTTTAATTTCAGATTTCTGAGAAAAAAAAGTCAGAATTCTGAGATTAAAGTCAGAATTCCTTTTATTTTTTTTTTAGTGGCCCTAATCCTCTTCCGAAGTAAGAGGCTTGAATATTATTTGAATTTATTTTACGGGGAAAAGAAGGGCAGATAAGATTTTCTTTTCTCCCTGTGCTTCCTTTCATTTCATTTATATATTTATTTTGTATTGTATGTAGATTTCTCTTCTTTTAATGAATAAATGAGATATAATCTCAGTAACATTAAATTTTAAAAAATCACAAGTAGGGGTGTAAGAAAATATCGATACACTGAAATATCGCGATATTTCA